TCTTGGTTAGCCTACTATTCTTTTTAATTCAAGTATGGGAATCCATGACTGATTTTTTTTAATTCAGGGCAGAAGAGATGTATTGATCACCCAACTACTCTTTTAATTGTTAATTGTACTCTATTATAATAGGTTATACACAGCACAATGCTATCAAAATTGATCTCTTTGGGCCATTCCACACCCCAGAAACCTCCAATATATATATTTTCGTGTATGCAGTGCACTGCAACTTTCAACTTGAAGGTGCATCCTTAATCTTTGAATATCATGACTCAAACCAGCAAGGTGAACGTCCTGGAGGACTACCGGGTTGCACCACCATCAGGTACGGTCGCTGAAAAGTCACTTCCCTTTAACTTTTTTTGACCTACCATGGTTACACTTCCCTCTCGTCCACCGCGTCATCTTTTATGACTTTCCCTATACCAAAAACCATTTCGCTGAGGTTGTTATTCCAAATCTTAAACATTCAGCTTCCCTCACTCTCAAACATTTTTTCCCTCTTGCTGGTAATCTGATAATTCCCTCAAATTCTGCTGCAAAACCCGAGATTTGTTATGCGAATGGCGACTCGATTTCACTGATCTTTGCAGAGTCTAGTAGTGGTTTCGATCATCTCACCGGCAATCATTCAAGAGACACTGATGAATTTTACACTCTTGTACCTCAAATGCCACCGGTTATAACCAATGTGTCTGGTGCATTAGTAGCCCCACTACTAGCTCTTCAAGTGACCCTTTTCCCCAACGTTGGTATTTGTTTTGGGTTCGTCTTTCGCCATGTGATCGGTGATCATGGGCTTCGATTGTCAAATCAGGTGGAGACGCGGCGTTGTTAAAGGATGATCAACTCCTTCCTCTTTACGACAGGACCGTGATCAAAGATCCGAAAGGTTTGGAAGAAATTTTTTGGAGACAGTTGCAGGATTTGAAATTTGAAGTATCTCCATTTCATTTTCTACCAACCAACAAGGTTCGAGCTACTTTTATCATCCGCCAAGTGGATGTCAAACAACTCAAGAAATCGGTCTCAACCAGTCGACCAATGCTGCCATACGTATCAACCTTCACATTAGCATGTGCTTATGTATGGTCTTGCATGATGAAATCACGTTTAGGCAATGGGGAAGAGATTGATGAAGATGATTTGGACTTCTTCATTTGTTCTGTGGATTGTCGACCCCGTGTGAATCCACCATTACGGACAACTTACTTCGGCAATTGCATAGCCCCAGTTTTTGTGAAGGCAAAGACTACCCAACTCTTGGGTGAAGAGGGTTTTTTCATGGCAGCAGAGTTGATCGGAGAAGCCATTCACAACAAACAGCACAACGAGGAAGGAGGAGGAGGAGTGTTGAATGGTATAGAGAATTGGTTCTCAGAGGTCGAAGTTTTGAAATTGGGCCGAATTGTTAGCGTTGCTGGGTCACCCAAAATGGGCTTTTATAGTATAGATTTCGGGTGGGGAGGGCCCAAGAAGATTGAAATTCTTTCGATAGATGTTACTGAGGGAGATCTGGAGGTTGGGGTGTCTTTACGCAAGATTAAAATGGATGCTTTTGCTAGCATCTTCGCTGATGGCATTAAGAACCTATAGGAAAGCAGAAGAAAATTCCCCACTGATTTGTATCAAAGCATGAAAACAGTTTGTATGAAAGACCAAATTGGGAAGGGTGTTTTGGGGTGTGGGTGTGTGTGTGTGTGAGAGAGAGAGAGAGAGATCTCATAGGAGACCTAAGGTTTTAAATAATTTTTATTGCTATGCATGATTATATATCTAATCTATCTCCAAACAAAAAGGAGATGAGAGTTGCTAAATGATATATAAGGATTAAATCTATGTTTTTGACTTGATAATGAATGTCTTGTTTGAAGGCTGGCCGTAACGCAACGGTAACACTGTTTTATTACAATTTAAATGTTTAAAATTTGAGTAAAAAAAAAAAAATTCTCTACAGCGGCATGACTTCATGTTTAACTAGAGTTGAGTCATCAATTTATCTAACGACTTGCCATTTATCATCTTTAACATACTAAGACTAAATTCAAATCTAATAATTATGTCGGTTCATGGGTTGTGTCTAACCCTATGTGAAGTGTTAAGAAAGTTGTGATCCCATGCATCAACTATCTATATAATAAAGTATTCTCTCCGTTACTAAATATCTGTCGTTTTACATAATTTTTTTTTTGTTTTATAATATCTGTCGTTTTATGAATCCAAAGTATAATTAATATTTTTTCTTCCAAATTTACCCTTAACTTTTCAATGCATTAAATTAGGTGAAGGCTAAGTGTCTTTCATATTCTTTTCCTTCCCAATACATATTGAATAAGGGTATTTTAGTCTTGTGTAATTATTTTTTACTCATATTACAGCTATTTAATAGCTTCTTTAATCCATGTGTAAAAATCTTAAAGGACAGATATTTAAGAACGGAGGGAGTATAAGGCAATTCAAATCTCAAAAGATAAACAAAATTACTTTTGTTTTTCGCAGTTAAGATCTCTTTAAATATTATTTTAAAATTAATTCGACGGCTAATATTAACACCTAAAATATAATAGAAAAAATAGGCATTTAAAAGTGTGTTTAAATTAACTTTTTAAAAATGTTTCTAATACTTATAATTTCTTATAACCACCCCCCCACCCCCACCCCCCCCATTGCCACCACTACCACTACCATTACCTCCGTCACCCCACCACCACCACTACCAACACCCCCATCGCCCTATCACCACTATCACCATCGCTACCGTCACCCTACCATCATCCCTATCGCCCCCACCCCCGCCCCTGCCCACACCCCCACCCCCGCCACTCCATCACCATCGTCACCAATACCACCACCACTACCCCTACTACCACCATTGTACCACCACCGTCACTGTCCCATCATCACTCCTACCACTATTATCACTATTGTCACCTACAGTTGCTACCATCACAATTGGTCGTCGTCACTCATCACAACCATCACCATCTCCATCTCCCACCACTACCATTGTTGTCCACCACCGCTCGCCCCATTACAATCGGTTCTTAAATTTTTTTTTCTCTTTTATATTTATAATTTAATTTTGGGCGTGAATACAAATATGTTTATTTTTGATCATTTTTGTGCATTCAAACACGAGAAATAACTAGTTATAAATAATTTGGATGTTTTTGAAATATTACTAGCAATTTTTTTATTGTTATTTAGATGTTTGCCAACAACCTCTTTTTTCTCCTTAAATTATAGAATAATAGTCCATATAAATCATAGGATCGGTGTGGCGCACAAATTTTTAATAATTATATAATTTACTATTAATGCACCATATCAATTTAGAATCAAGAAATTTAATAAAAACCTTAGTGTACCTCATCATTCTCCCCCCCCCCCTCTCCCCCCTTTATCCCAAAAATAGATTATTGTAGTGTTATTCTGCTCACATATTAGATTAATGATGGACTTTGTACAAAATAACTTCTCTCCACACAAGAGTTAAATCTATAGGTGGTAGCCTAACTTACTCTCATAAGAAGTTTATCAAGTGATTGAGTTACTACTACCATACATTCCTTTTTTTTTTTTTTTGATATTCGAGTTATTCTAATAGATCACTACGATATTTGTTGTTCACGTATCAGATTAATGTTGAATCTTGTGCAAAACTGTCTTTCCACACAAGAGAATAAATATATGGATAATGACACTACGTTTCATAGAATATTCAATCTCCCAACCTATCCCTTCCAAGAGATTTTTCAGCAAAGCTATTATTTTCCTTTCTTTAAAGTATCTCTAACAAAAGTTTTGTATTTTACAATCCAAAAGTACACTCTTTTTTATCGAAATATGTTTTTTGCCAAAAATAAAAAAAGGAGAATATATTATAAATTATTTATACATTGACACTTTAAATATAAAGTATCATTATAATAAAACCATATTTTACCTACTCTAAACAATTTTTATTAAAATATGTATTTTATTTTTAAATAATTAAATTTTAGAATTTTAATCATTCTACTATTTATTTGTAAGAGCAGCAACTCTAAATGGCTCGTTAAATAGTTCATTCTTAGCTATTTTAAATACCTTCTCCCAAAAATTTATCTCCACCAGACTATCTATTCCGCTTTGTATTTTCCATAATCCCCTTTTCCCTTGCTGGTTCTAGCGAGCCACTTCTCCCTCGCTGGCATCAATTTCCTCCTCTCTCTTTCACTCTGTCTTTCTCTCTCACTTACTGAAGCTCCCCAACACCTAGATTGAAACTGTTCTGGTCTTGCTTTGATACCGATCTGGACTTATTTGATAAACTTATCTGATCTTGCTTTTTTGATTTAAATATTTGGATTGCATTATTGAAAGGGGTATTCTTTGGATTTAGCTTTTGTTGTCAAACTTTAAATATTAGTTGCCATATTTATCATTCATATATCTTTCGTCCCTTAAATTCAATCTTTCGGAGGATTCTGTTGAATACCACCAACAATATAAAATCAAAAAGAAAAAAATTAAATTTATGAATTGTTATTTTTTGAATTTTATTATTAAAAATTAGTTGAAGTAATTAACTAGATAGTGTGAGTAGAGTAAATTTAAAAAATTAATTAATTAATTAAAATAGATAATAATATATATATATATATATATATATATATATATATATATATATATATATATATATATATATATATATATATATATATATATATATTTTGATCAGAAATATTTAAATATATTTTAAAATGTTATTTTGATGAGCATCGTTAGAGTTGCTCTTATCTGCATTCCATCGTCTTCCCATCCAGTCAAAACTGGATTGCTAATCAATCACAAATGACGACAAACACCACCATTTTATCAACAATTGATTTCTTTGGGCCATTCCACAAAACACACAAACCTCCAACTCCTATTAGTATAATTTAGTATGCAGTGAAGGAACACTTCAACTTCCAACATATCGTCCAAGTTCCAAGTTTTTGTAGCAATCAGGCATGATGAAGGTGCTCGAGGACTGTCGGGTGGCGCCACCACCAGGCACCGTTGCCGGAAAGTCCCTTCCCCTAACCTTTTTCGACCTTCCATGGTTACACTTCCCTCTCATCCACCGCGTTATGTTCTATGAGTTTCCCCACTCCAAAACCCATTTCATCGAGTCTGTTATTCCAAAGCTTAAACACTCGGCCTCCCTCACTCTTAAACACTTCTTCCCTCTTGCCGGTAACCTCATAGTGCCATCAAATTCTTCAAAACCCGAAATGCGTTACGTGAATGGTGATTCGGTTTCACTGATCTTTGCAGAGTCTAGGGGAGATTTCGATTATCTTAGTGGGGATCATGCAAGAAATGCTGATGAATTTCATCCTCTTGTCCCTCAAATGCCAGAGGTTATTTATGAGTCTGGTACAGCAATAGCCCCACTTCTAGCTCTTCAAGTCACTCTTTTCCCCGACGTTGGTCTGTGTTTTGGGCTAATCTTTCACCATGTGATTGCCGATGCTAGCACTTTGATGAATTTCTTAAACTCATGGGCTTCGATTTTCAAATCAGGCGGAGATGAAGACTTGTTGAAGGATGGAATCCTCCCTCTCTATGAGAGATCTGTGATCAAAGATCCGAAAGGTTTAGAAGAAATTTACTGGGGCCAATTGAAGGATACTAAATTTGAAGTGCCTCCATATCAATTTCTTCCCACAAACAAGGTTCGAGCCACATTTGTGATGCGCCGAGAGGTTATCCAAAAACTCAAGAAATTGGTCTCTGACCAGAGACCATCACTGTCATATGTGTCAACCGTCACAACAACCTGCGCTTTCGTATGGATTTGTATGGTGAAATCGCGTCTGGGCAATGGGGAGGATATTGGTGAAGACGATTGGGACCTATTCGTCCTCAACGTGGATTGCAGGGCTCGTTGGAATCCACCGCTACCGGTGAATTACTTCGGCAACTGTATAACACCCATTTTTATAAAGGGAAAGAGTACCCAACTTATCGGAGACGAAGGTTTTTTGACGGCGGCTGGGTTGATCGGAGAGGGAATTCACAACAGGCTGCACAATGAGGAGGGAGTGATGAAGGATATGGAGAACTGGGTCTCAGAATTTCAAGCATTGGTATCGGAACTGTTACGAAAACAGACCATAGACAGAGCCGCCGGAGTTGCAGGGTCACCGAAATTGGGATTTTACGGGGTAGATTTTGGGTGGGGAAGGCCGAAGAAGATAGAGATTATCTCAATAGATGTCAATGGAGCCTTCTCGGTGATGGAGAGCAGAGATTCGGAAGGTGGTGTGGAGGTTGGTGTGTCCTTGCCCAAGATTAAATTGGATGCTTTTGTTACCATCTTCGAAGATAGCCTGCAGAATATATAGAAGATGATACGTAAAGCAAGAAAAAGCATATTTATGTGATTGATTCTGTGCTACAAGTATTATGAATAATATGGATATCTTCGAAACATTGTCGGGATTTTCTGTCCTAATTTGGATGTTTACCTGCAAATAGCAAGGTAAGAGTCACTCATTTACAATGTGCTAAGGCATGGGTTTGATCAATTGACTAATGGTGCTTTAGCTGAAATTTATTTCAAAAATTTTCTTTCTTCGAACGAATACTATATTGATGAAGTTATTTTTAAAGTCATTCTGAAACTTGTCATTGAAGAGGAGAATTTTTGACTTACTAGATTACCTACTATGAAGTAAGTTTGAGATGTGATTTCTCTATGTCAGCAGATTTTTCTCCTGGACCAGATGATGTGACATGAGGTAAGCTCAATCATTTTGAAAAAACTTTTTGCATGGGAGTTTTCCTCCGATAAATAACGGTTTTTTCGATGACAAACTTGAAACAACCAAAAAAGATCAAGAAAGAGGTTTGGTGAACACCGACTTATTCCTTCTGAAACTTAAGTCAATAGAAATTTAAAGACTTTAGCAGTGTTTCTATTTTTCCAGATTAATTGACATCTTTATTCATATTTCTGAGAGGTATTTATTCCTGCATCAGCAATAAGTGTAAGGGTTTAAAGTCTTGTCACAACATTTAGTGGCTTACACTCTTCTCCACATATAATGAGTGTTCTCCACTTAATTGCTTGCAAGTATTCAATGCTCGAGTGATAGGACAACTGTTCGGGAGCATGCCAAACACTTATGACTATTCTTGGGCACTCAACTTCCTTTGATCGGTGCCTGACGCCTACTTCTGTATGTTTAACGCTCGGGGTATACTGCCTCAAGGTTTGTCGAGGACATATGGTTGACACAACGATCATTAATGCTTTGCAATTATAACTATCAGTTTAGGGTCTCGAAGATGCAAGGACTTATTAATAACCATATCACAGTCACTCAAGTCCTCATTAATGAGCTGTCATATCTTCTTAAATGCTGATCTCAGCCTATCCACTCAGCTCTTCTGAATAGTAACTGCTTAGCTCCATCTTTTGGCGCCTTTTGAGTTCCATAACAACTCTATCAATCCACGTGTCAATTTGGGGACTGCTAAGCCTCCTAAAATCCCGTAACTTTTCATAAGATAAGATCTGTTGTTTGTGAGCGACTGAGATTGCCATGGATGGTTGGTGTTTTGAATGACTGAGATTGCCACTGGGATATTAACATAGGGTGATTCAAATTGATAGCAATTAGGAAATTTTAAAGGGATAGGATCCAATCTTCTTTTATGTTATTGAGCTTGGAATGTCTCCTTTTGCAATGATTTTTTTTGAGTGGATAGATGTGTAAGTGATGACCACTTTTCTTCATTCTTGGCTTTAAATCTCTTTTTTAAGAATTAGACCACACAATAGGGAGAAGAATAATTTGTTCTTTGAACCTGTCATCTTTCCACTATTGTAAAAAACATCACCAAAAGTTTCCAATATGTTGTGATTATAGCATGCAATTCCTTGTTCCAGTTCAGTTCTCTACATCTATCTATTTAGCATCTGGCTCTCCTCCCCATTGTCGGATTCGCTGTCCAGCAATAGAAGCCTGTATATCAAACCAGATTAATCAAGACCTTATTTAGTTTTGGAAATGGGTGCCTCTATTACGAGAATAAAGTTCAAGTTCACTTGTCATTTTAGGCTCATGGAGCCTCTGCAAACCATGTGCTTTTTGCCTGTGCTGTGCTTCCATGGGCAAAGTTGATGATCTGCTAGTGCATACACACAAGTAGGCTGTAAAATGTAAACAAAACAAAAGATTAGTGCTTACCTCTTTATTCCAGTTGGTTCTATAAACTACCCAGAACAGGATTAGTGTTTGTATTACAGTCCCTCCCAACATGCCGGACCAAATTCCCTGAAAATAAGCAGATGTCTTTAAATCCATAACAATAACAAGCACTTCAGTTCATAAGCGTTTAATTACGGGTTTTATTTGATTACCTAATGACAAATATAAACAAGTATTTAAACCAAGTGTAGGGAAAATTTATACTTACTGTCACACCCATATTGATCTTGTACCCCATTAAAAGACCCAAAGGAATACCAAATATATAGTAGCATGCAATATTAACATAAGCAACAACAGCTTGCCATCCTGCTCCAATAGCCACCCCTGCAAAAAATAACATCACTCTACAATCAATATCTATTACCTAGAACAGAGAAACATTTGAGGCAAGGAAAACAAAAACAGATAGAAAATCTGTTATATAATCACCAGAGAGAGCTGGCTGAATATTGTTAATGACAATGGACAGTGCTAGCAATGGCGTGAGCTTGTATACAAGGTTTTTGACTTCTGTACTTTCTGAAAATAAGGATGGATACAGCTTTCGGAAGATGATGAGAATGAGGGAGAGGACGAGACCAATAAAAAATGAAAATATCACCACCACCACAACTGAAAATTTTGCTGTTCTTGGATGCATTGCTCCCAATTCATTTGATACCCTTACGCTGCACGTTTACATTGAAAATTTAGACACAGGATGAAGTTTCCTCCTAATGTTGCAAATGTTTTGCTGAATACAGAAATAATGGTAGTGTTTTAAACCTAACCTTATAGCTGCATTGCATCCAATGGCTACCATCACTGCCCAGCCCTCTATGTTCATGCTGCAAGTTTAGAAGTTGATAAAGCAACAAGAACAAGAAAGAGCAGCTGCTGCAATTTCTCACACACTGTTTGTTCATGAAACTGAATATGGTAATATCTCTACTATTCTGCTCCTTGTTTTTCATGAAAATGGCTATGATAGAGCACAGGTCAGTAGTGGATACCAATGTGTGGTCCACAATATTCAAGGGCAGAGAAGCCATTGATACAAATTCAGGAAATATGTGAATGAACAATATCACATCACATCTTCGGTGGACAGGAGGATATTATAGAGAGGAGACGAACCCAAAATCTAGAAGCTAATATTTTTTCAATATGTTATCGTGAAGATTCATGGAACTAGTACGCATTAACATGACACAAATCTGATAAGGTTAGTGACAGGCTAGAAGCCAAGCAGAGAAACCATTGGATTTGTAATTTGCAACACATGTTCATATGATAAGAACCCGAATCTAAATTCAGGGGTTAAGGGTTGGTCAGAATATTTTCGGTGATATTTGTCTCTTGAGCTATATAGGTGCCAAACGAACTGGTAGGCGTCCAGATACCGACCTCATTAGTAGTATAGAGATAATCACCCACAAGACAAAACCAATAACAGAACAGAAGCTCCAGTCATAGTCCATATCTGGGTAGAGATATATAAATTAGACACCATGTCATACTCACAAGCGAGGTCTCAATTTCTCCTTCAGGTTAAGGTCAAGCGAAGAGGAATTTCTTTTTGTGTGAATGACTTATCTTTAACCGGACTGAAGAAAAGATTAGTCGAAATGCATATAAATTGGTCCTGATATCTCTCACCGTTGAACAGAAAAAAAAAATAAGTGGGGTCCTGATTTTCTTGGATAGAAGACGAAAATTGTAAACATACAAATTAAAGATGAGTTGGTCTCTATCAATTGGATAAAAAAAAAGTAGTTCTCTATCAAACTTTGCTTGGCAAAAAAGTACAAGAAAACATAGTGCTATACGGAAACGGGAAAGGTTACGGCACCAAAGGAGGTACTGTATCAATTTTTGCAATTTTTTAATGTTAAGTTATAATTTTTTTGTAGTGTAAGTTACAACTTTTAAAGGTAATAATCGATCATGATAGATTGAAATTGATATTGAAGTTATAACTCTCAAAAGTTAAGTTACCTTTTTTAAAGGTTAAGTTACAACTCATAAAAGAAAAGTTACAATTGTTCAAAAGAAATTCATGATTGATTATGTGTATTTGTAATTGATCATGGTCTCCTGAAGCAGTTGTAATTTTTTTTTTTAAATTATAATTTTATTATAAAAGTAATACGTAACGGTACGATATTGAATTTATTTTATTCGGTACTCAAGAGTTTTCCTATGGAAACATAGTCACAGAAATAATGGTAAGTACTCACCATATGGACAAGGCAGCGACTGCTACTTCTGCATTCTTCAAATATCCAGCAAAAAGGAGTAATGCCATCAAATACCATATTTCTAAGCTGCAAATTTGTTCAAAGGATAACAAGTCAAAACTCAGAATAGTGATTATGGCTGACTATTCATAATTTACCTGTAATGCTGCATATGCAGAAATCCAAATTTTCCAGAACGTATTTCAACGTGTAAATTAGTCCCCTTTTTTGTTTGTATTTCCAATTTTTGCCGACGTAATTAGTTAGACTACTCAGTACTCACCAAAGCATCACAGCTGATGCGAGGGATAACTTAACGAATCCCCAAAGACTGTGAAAGGCCTTCCATGAAAACCCAGACCAAGCTCGACCACAAGCCCCACTAAAGATATAGACCAGCTGCGCCACCACAATGAACCACCACGACGCATTCAGCACCACCGCTCCTCCCACCAGTCCCCACCCCAATTTCAGCATCAACAACCAGCTGAACAAAGTGTGCACCACCAACACCACCGCCGATATCCATGCCATAGCCATGATCTTGCTCTGCGCCTGTAGAAACTTGGAAATCGGAAAATTCATCGCATAAGCATAGAGCTGTGGTATCATCCACACAGCCACCTTCCCCGCCGCATTCGATATCTCCTCCGGCTGGCCGATCAGCTTTAATAATGGCGTTGCGAAGATGTAGAAAAACGTGAGTATGAAAGCTGTGCTGTTGAGAACAACCCATGATCTCTGCATGTATATCCCAAGCATATCAAACTGTCCTGCTCCTTGGGCTTGTCCACACAGCGTCTCCAATGCGCTTCCCATGCCAAGCTGATCAAATTAAGTTTCATCAAACCCATTTTGTTTGAGTAATTATTTCTTTTTTTTTTCTCGACTAATTTTTTTTAGTCTGGTCCAAAAAATTGTCAACATTAAAATTCAATATATGGAAATTTAAGATTCGTCATTTTTACCGCTTAAATTACATTGAAATTTGAGTAAATACATACAGAGACTAAAAGTACAATTAATCGAAGGAAAAAATTTACTATTATAGGGGAAAGATGATAGATATAGTACCATGACGCCGAAGGAGAAGCCGGCGATGACGCAGTTTTCTACAGAGAAGGCATCGAGCTCAAGGGTACCCACATGGCCGGTGAAGGTTTGAGTGATGGCGCCGAGAGAGTACTGGCAAAGGGATGTGAAAATGGCTGGACCAGCGAGGTACCAGAGTTTTCTGGACTCGACACAGAATTCTTTGAAGAAATCTCGAACTCCAGTGACCGGAGGGATGTCGTCGGCATCTGCTACGAAGGATGAAGAAAAAGAAAGGTTTGATGATCTCACAAGGTAATCTTGCACTTGGGGCTGGTTAAATGGGGTTTGGTTTTCTTCTCTCTGGGAGAGAAGTGGCTCCGTACGGTCGGTCTGCATATGTGTGTGTGAGAGAGACAGAGTGTTGTGTACGTGGTAAGGCAAGCCTAGATTAGCTCACCAAGGCAACCACAGCGGGTCATTGGAGTTTGTAAAAATTGAAATCTATTATTTTCATAAAATGAATAAAAAATAATAAAAAAAAAACCGCAAAATAGGACACTCAAGAGGTGGGGTTTTGTTCCAACCCCACCGAAGGTTCCGAAAGACATCAAGACGGCTCTGGGATAAGTATCATTTTTGTGAGTTAAAATAATTAAATTTGTGAATTAAATTTATTATTTTAATAAAGGACGAAGAATTTTAAATTTTTTTTTTAATTTTTTAGAAATAAAAATTATTTTTAAATTTGGTCCAACAAAGAAAATTCTTCCAAAATATTTTTTCGCCCAATAATTTCAACAATCCTTACTCCAGGACTAAGAAAATTTTTTCAAATACATCTGTCGGTCAATCTGTTACACAGTATACTCGCATCCTAACAATACGTTTATCACACCCTCTCTTAACTTCTCTCTCTACCAGTGACATCACACAACCGCTGTCATCCATCACCGTTATTCGCCATTTTCACTAGGGTTCTCTCTCTCTTCGCTTTTGTTTCTATCTCTCGGCGTTTATCTCTCTTTCACTCCAACCCCAAACCCCCCCCCTAAAACTCCAACCCAGAAACCCCCAATCGCACTCTTTCTCTCTTCACTTTTGTTTCTATCTCTCTCACCCCACCCTAGAAACCCCTCTCTTCCCAAAAACTCCAACCTAAAAGCCCCAACCCATTTTGGTTCACTCTCTCAAACCCAATCCCATTTGTTATGTTTATCTCTCTCTATTTACTTCATTCGTTCCTAAATATCTGTCGTTTTATACAATTTTTTTGTTCCATAATATTTGTCGTTTTATGAAACCAAAGCATAATAAATATTTTTTTTTCAAATTTACCCTTATCTCTATTTTTCAATAAGTGTTTAATAGATCAAGTGTAGACTAAGTGTCTTTCATATTTCTTTCTTTCCCAATATGTATTGAATAAATGTATTTTAGTCTTGTGTAATTATTTTTTACTCATATTAGAACTATTTAATAACTTCCTTAATCCCTATGCAAAAATTTTAAACGACAGATATTTAGGAACGGAAGGAGTATTTCATGGTTTTGATCATGGTTGCCACGATCGCGGGTCAGTTGGGTACATGGTACAGGTACAAGTACGTGATACGGGTACAGGTGCGGGGTACGTTACCTTTTTCGGTACGCAGTGCTATGGGGGTAGATTTAGTTGGTACGCTATTTTGGACCGTGGTTCGCTTTGATCTATTATCCAGATCGTTTTCATTATTACAAAGAATTATATAAATATATACATTATAAAATGCAAATCAAGACCAACAACAACACATCAACTAATAATCATGTATAAAAAAATAATGATTGCATATTTTATTATCAAAAAAAGACAACATATAAATTTAAAAACTTAAAATTTTAAAAACAACATACTAGAGAGCGATTAAATAACTTTCTACTTAAAGCACAAATCAAAATAACAATCTTAAATATCTAACAAGTCTCAAATAAAAATTATTTAATAATAAGAAAAAATTGGAGCACATGAGTTAATTGTCAACTCTTTTCCCTTTATTTTTCACAGTGTTCCTTCCTCTAGCAAAGTTACTAATTTGAGCCTGATGTAGTCCAGAATGACAGAGCGGTGGCCTGCTAGAACTAGTAGGTGGTTTGTCAATAGAGACGGGCATAGAAGCATGTAAGGATGAAACTTTTCGATCTTCGTCTCCAGCAATGGTAGAGCTATCTATATTGTCATCCCATAATGATTTTCATCGCAAATCCTACAATCTCACACTAGCATTATCTATATGTGTGCTCTGGATTTATGTTCCATTTCTTAAAAGGGCCATCTTTTTAGCTTTCATTGAAATATGATTGAAGACGAATATTTAAATGGATGAAAAACAATTTGTTAGCTCTAGTAGAATTCAATTTGTTTCTCTTGATATTGTGAATAAATGAATAAATGCTTCAATTTTTTTCAGCTAAAGAACTTGTAATTGGTTGTCACAACACCTTTTATGAAAAAATAATAAGACACATTAATAATGAAATTAACAATAAAAATAAATACCTTGTAATTTAAATTAGTACTTTTTTTGCCATTTCTGCTAATTCTGGAGTTTCTGAACCATATGTCGACCACCAATCAATAGCATCCAAGGTCACAATATCTGTTTGAGTTGCCGTCATAGCATAAAGACCTTTCGCGAGTGAAAGTGTACATACTGTTCTCACAATTGTTTTGCTTCTTGTACATCTTTTGCTATTTTTTCAAAAGCTTCCATAACACCTATGATGACCTCTCAATCTTGATTTAGAGTTTTCCTAACTATACCTCCCAGTGCTAGCTTAGTAAGATATTGGTTATCAAAAAACCATGGTGTTAGTACAAACCCAAGACAATGCAAAGGAATATTCATCTTCTCCCATCTGTCAAGCAAAATTTTTTCAATCTGGAAAAATTTATCAACATGTTTTCCACCCTTCATAATATCTTTTATTTCACCAAGCATATTGTCCATCTTCTCATAAATCTCACCCATTTGTTTTACCTTTCCCATCACAAAATTTAATAAGAAAAAATATAGACTTTGTGATACTTATGTTATTCTCCACATCCTTCCAAAATTCTTCACTAATAACGATTTTTGTAACCAAAGCACATAACTTTTTTTTTTGTTGGAACCTCAACTGTACGAGGGAGATTTTATTGATTAAAAATTGAATTACACCTAGCTAGGGGAGACGTATGCACCTTACCCCCTCGATGCAATCTAATTACATAGTCGAAAATAAAAATAAAGAAAAGGCAAAAATGCATGCATAGTACAAATAATAGGAAGAACTTAAAGACTATACTAAACATGTTGCCTAAAATTAAATTAGAGCTAAGAGCTTGAGCTGAGCAGCAAGAAGAGATGTGGGCAATAGCTAAGAACGTAGACAACTGAGAGCCTGAGTTAAATTCAGCTGTAAGCTTGCACTGAAAGTTGCTGGAGCTGAGAGCTATGACAAGTAGAGTCCAATCATCTCCTGCAATAAAAGACCAGCTAGGCAAAGCACTATAACTAAATACAGGAATAATTTGATTAGGGTAGATAAAGAGACAAAATAATAAGCTATGCATATGAAAAGGCAGATCTGAAAAGCAACAAGGCAGATCCGATAAGCAACAAGGCAGATCTGATAAGCAGCTGAAAGGGCATCTTGAAAAAGGCAACTGATAGGCAGCAAGGGGAAGAATCTGAACAGAAGGATGTGCAATCCTTAGAGCAGACTTCTGCATTTTCAATGAGAGAAACATCCTGAGATCAAGTGAGGCCCAACAATCTAGTTGTCTTTTTCCCATGATCCAACAGATGAAACAAGAGCAGAAAACCAAAAGCAGAAAATCCTCTATCCTCTGATTCATAAGGGCATAGACTATAAGCATGGCAGAAGACAAGTATCCAGCAAGAAAACCAGAGAAATAAGAAAATCAAAGCATCTGAAGCCAAAGAGGAGAAAGTTCATCCTCCAGCTAAGATTTTTGTTCTCAAATTTCTTATTTGCATTGCATCCTGTCTCATAAGTAGATTAATTTGTGAAGGAATATTTTCTGTGCAGTCATATGTGATGGAAAGTCTATCTAATACCCCTTTATTTGCAAAAGCATATGCAACCTTGTTACTTTCACGATATGTATGTTGTATCTGGTACTTGAATTGCCTTAGCATAGCAAATATCTGAACAAATAAAAGTCCACAATTTCCATGATGTTTGAACTCTCTGATTCACCATATCAACCAGCATCTTAGAGTCTATTTCAATAATTAAATCATAATCTTGAAGCCCATAATTGCGCAAGAGACATAGACCACTTAGTGAAGCCTGAATTTCTGCCTCCATATTCGTGCAAAAACCATAATAATAAGACCCAACAAGAAGCAACTGGCCCTTAGAATTTCGCAAAACTGCTCCTTCTCTTGATTCCCCAGGATTACCTTTAGAAGCTTCATCTATATTGAGCTTAATCAGACCTTCCCCTGGAAATTTCCAAGCTATCCACCAAGAGATCATCCTCACCTCTTTAAACTGAAACACATTTAAGGAATGCAACAACTCCTTCTCCTGTGTTGAATCCATATCCTTTGGCCTAACAATGTAAACTTGTAGCCTCAGAAAGTGCACAATCCGCCTAACCAAAGTGTAAGGATGCAACCTTTCTTCCTCAAAGAGTCTTTTACATCGTTCCTGCCATAACTGCCAATACACCAACAAAGTTATTCCCCTTATTCAAGCATGACTAACTGAAGAGTGTTTAAACTCTCTCACAAACCTCATAAATCTTATAAGAGGTCCTTCATTGGCAATCAAACGAAGACCTAATTTCTTTGAAATTAAGTCCCATACTACCCTTGCTTATCTACATTGTATAAAAATATGACCAGCAGATTCACAGTCCGACTGACACAAAACACATCTACTGGCCAAATAAATCCCTCTCTGCTGAAATGTTTCATCCATAGGTAATGCACGTTGTAGTATTTTCCATCCTATTAATCTTGCACTAGGTGAAACAAGTTGTTTTCAAATAGTTGCTGCTTGGATACTGACTTGACCCTCCAACCTTACAATATGCCATGCTGATTTTATATAGAAATAACCCAAAGAAGTAGGCTTCCAAATGAGCCTATCTCATTCTGAATTCTGAGCCAATTGACAAGATAACACCTCATGCAACAAGTCATCATCAAGAGCATGCTGAATATCTCCTAATTCCCAATGTCCATTCACATACACTTGGGAGAACTTTGGGAACACTGTAGGTTTTGCTGTATTCCTACGGACTAGAGGTCCACCACCTGACCAATTATCACACCAAAAATCTATAGTAGAACTAGTTCCAACCAGCATTTGGGTATTCTCCACAGCTAACTCAAACCATGGAG